GATCAGTGGTGGAAAAAGTACCCAATTGTTATACTTGAGTAAAAGTAAAGATACCTTAACAGAAAATGACTCAAGTAAAAGTGAAAGTCACCCAGTAAAATACTACTTGAGTAAAAGTCTAAAAGTATTTGGTTTTAAATATACTTAAGTATCAAAAGTAAAAGTACAATTGTGAATCATTTGAAATTCCTTATATTAAGCAAACCATACGGCACCATTTTCTTGTTTTTTAAATTTACGGATAGCCAGGGGCACGGTTTACAAAGTAATTTAGTGAGTCCGCCAGATCAGAGGCAGTAGGGATGACCAGGGATGTTCTCTTCATAAGTGTGTGAATTAGTGTTCGAAACAGCAGGTCAGGGAAAAGGTAGCACGTCCAGTGAAAACAGGACACCGCTTACCAGCATGTTTGACAAGCTTTATACATTTGTATCACAAACACTTTTTTTGAAAGTCATGTTGAAAGTGGCATTTTTGGCAATTTGTAGACCAATACAATAAATGTATGTGTATTTCAGAATCTAGACAGTATAATAAGGAGTATAATGATACCAAGATGTTGTCTGTATTATGTACGGTTCACGGATCATAAGGTCTTACAGGAGGCATGTACAGTGAGGGAAAAAAAGTATTTGATCCCCTGCTGATTTTGTACATTTGCCCACTGACAAAAAAATGATCAGTCTATAATTTTAATGGTAGGTTTATTTGAACAGTGAGAGACAGAATAACAACAACAAAAATCCAGAAAAACACATGCCAAAAATGTTATAAATTGATTTGCATTTTAATGAGGGAAATAAGTATTTGACCCCCTCTCAATCAGAAAGATTTCTGGCTCCCAGGTGTCTTTTATACAGGTAACGAGCTGAGATTAGGAGCACACTCTTAAAGGGAGTGCTCCTAATCTCAGCTTGTTACCTGTATAAAAGACACCTGTCCACAGAAGCAATCAATCAATCAGATTCCAAACTCTCCACCATGGCCAAGACCAAAGAGCTCTCCAAGGATGTCAGGGATTGTAGACCTACACAAGGCTGGAATGGGCTATAAGACCATTGCCAAGCAACTTGGTGAGAAGGTGACAACAGTTGGTGCGATTATTCGCAAATGGAAGAAACACAAAAGAACTGTCAATCTCCCTCGGCCTGGGGCTCTATGCAAGATCTCACCTCGTGGAGTTGCAATGATCATGAGAACGGTGAGGAATCAGCCCAGAACTACACGGGAGGATCTTGTCAATGATCTCAAGGCAGCTGGGACCATAGTCACCAAGAAAACAATTGGTAACACACTACGCCGTGAAGGACTGAAATCCTGCAGCGCCCGCAAGGTCCCCCTGCTCAAGAAAGCACATATACAGGACCGTCTGAAGTTTGCCAATAAACATCTGAATGATTCAGAGGAGAACTGGGTGAAAGTGTTGTGGTCAGATGAGACCAAAATCGAGCTCTTTGGCATCAACTCAACTCGCCGTGTTTGGAGGAGGAGGAATGCTGCCTATGACCCCAAGAATACCATCCCCACCATCAAACATGGAGGTGGAAACATTATGCTTTGGGGGTGTTTTTCTGCTAAGGGGACAGGACAACTTCACCGCATCAAAGGGACGATGGATGGGGCCATGTACCGTCAAATCTTGGGTGAGAACCTCCTTCCCTCAGCCAGGGCATTGAAAATGGGTCGTGGATGGGTATTCCAGCATGACAATGACCCAAAACACACGGCCAAGGCAACAAAGGAGTGGCTCAAGAAGAAGCACATTAAGGTCCTGGAGCGGCCTAGCCAGTCTCCAGACCTTAATCCTATAGAAAATCTGTGGAGGGAGCTGAAGGTTCGAGTTGCCAAACGTCAGCCTCGAAACCTTAATGACTTGGAGAAGATCTGCAAAGAGGAGTGGGACAAAATCGATAACATTACTTAAGTCCTCAGACTGATGCCATTCCTCACTGAGTTGTCGGCACCACTCACACAAGGGATCAGTGGTGGAAATCCCTCCTGAGATGTGTGCAAACCTGGTGGCCAACTACAAGAAACGTCTGACCTCTGTGATTGCCAACAAGGGTTTTGCCACCAATTACTAAGTCATGTTTTGCAGAGGGGTCAAATACTTATTTCCCTCATTAAAATGCAAATCAATTTGTAACATTTTTGACATGCGTTTTTCTGGATTTTTGTTTTGTTATTCTGTCTCTCACTGTTCAAATAAACCTACCATTAAAAGTATAGACTGATCATGTCTTTGTCAGTGGGCAAACATACAAAATCAGCAGGGGATCAAATACTTTTTTCCCTCACTGTATATTCTAGGTCTAAAAAGGGCCTAATATTCCCACTTTCATCATAATTTTCTAAAATGTTTTTGAAGTTTCTATGTGAGAATTGACACCCAAAATAATCTGATAATCTGATACCCAAAATATTTCCCGCTTCCTCTGGTGTGGAATCGCCCCAAAGGGATGAGGGTGAAGTCCACCTCTAGTTAGTGTGTGTTTTTGTCGTGTTGAGAAGAGTACGCAAACCATTTTCTCAAGGACCACTCCGTAAAGAGACAACTCTCCATAAAGGTACAAAGACAGAAATGTGTGTGTCCTCTTCCTCTTGGACCAGAAAAAATACACGTTTTGCTGTATCCGCATTTGAACTCCTACTTTTTGACAAGCAAACTCACTCTCTCATTCTCTCGCTCCCTCTTTTCACCTTTTCCTCCTTGCCTTCCCTCCTTTCCAGGGTTATTCATAACTATGGAGACACTGAACTAAATGGGATACCGCCAGTCGTCTGGCTTCGGTAGACCCTGGCCCAGACATGGCCTTCATCTCCTTCACTTGTTCTCCCACAACTACACTGAACAAAAATATAAACGCAACTGGAAAATGTTGGTACCATACTTCATGAGCTGAAATAAAAGAGCCCAGAAATGTTCCAATACACACAAAATGCTTATTTCTCAAAAATGTTGTGCACAAATATGTTTACATCCCTGTTAGTGAGCATTTCTCCTTTGCCAAAATAATCCATCCACTTTACAGATTTGGCATATCAAGAAGCTGACAAAACAGCATGATCATTACACAGGTGCACCTTGTGCTGGGGACAATAAAAGGCCACTCTAAAATGTGCAGTTTTGTCACACAACACAATGCCACAGATGTCTCAAGTTTTGTGGGAGCGTGCAATTGGCATGCTGACCGCAGGAATGTCCACCAGAGCTGTTGCCAGAGAATTGAATACTAATTTCTCTACCATAAACTGCCTCCAATGTCGTTTTAGAGAATTTGTCAGTACGTCCTACCGTCCTTACAACCAAAGACCATGTGTATGGCGTCGTGTTGGTGAGCGGTTTGCTGATGTCAATGTTGTGAACAGAGTGCCCCATGGTGGATTTGGGGTTATGGTATGGGCAGGCATAAGCAATTGCATTTTATTGATGGAAATTTGAATGCACAGAGATACCGTGACGAGATCCTGAAGCCCATTGTTGTGCCATTCATCTGCAGCCATCACCTCATGTTTCAGCATGATAATGCACGGCCCCATGTCACAAAGATCTGCACACAATTCCTGGAAGCTGAAAATATCCCAGTTCTTCCAGGGCCTGCATACTCACCAGACATGTCACCCATTGAGCATGTTTAGGATGCTCTGGATCGACGTGTAGACAGCGTGTTCCAATTCCCGCCAATATACAGCAACTTCGCACAGCCATTAAAGAGGAGTGGGACAACATTCCACAGGACACAATCAACAGCCTGATCAACTCTATTCGAAAGGAGATGTGTCGTGCTGCATGAGGCAAATGGTGGTCACACCAGATACTGACTGGTTTTCTTATCCACACCCCTACCTTTTTTTTTAAGGTATCTGTGACCAACAGATGTATATCTGTATTCCCAGTCATGTGAAATCCATAGATTATGGTCTCATTTATTTATTTCAATTGTCTGATTTCCTTATATGAACTGTAACTAAGTAAAATCTTTGAAATTGTTGCATGTTGTGTTTATATTTTTGTTCATACATCAAATTCACTGAAAACTGTGAAATGGTGACAGCGCGAAACCTCAAAAGGCGTTTGGCTTCCACAGCTTCTTCGACAACATAGAGGATGGTGATGGCCAATGTTACCAACTGCTCCCAGACCAGGTTTTACCGTACTAAGAGGTGGGCAATCTGAATGAACAAGGGTCTGAGAACCTGCCGGATTAGGTCAACGAAAACCACACAAGACACAATGAAGACAGCAACATAGACCAGATCATCATCAGCAGGCCCGCATGGAATATGCGCACGCCGAATTCTGATGAATATCTGCGGAATTTCAAATAGACCAGCTGATAGAGAAGTTAACAAAAATGTACTTGTTGCTGAATTTGCCCAAAGTGTCCCACTCTCCCAACCATAGCCCATCGCCTGCAGTGGTGTAAAGTACTTAAGTAAAAATACTTTAAAGTACTACTTACGTTTTTTGGGGGGTATCTGAACCTTACTTTACTATTTATATTTTTGACAACTTTTACTTTTACTTCACTACATTCCTAAAGAAGATAATGTACTTTTTACTCCATAAATTTTTCCTGACACCCAAAAGTACTCGTTACATTTTTTATGCTTAGCAGGACAGGAAAATGGTCTATTCACACACGTATCAAGAGAACATCCCTGGTCATCCCTACTGCCTCCATTTACATTTTACATTTACGTCATTTAGCAGACGCTCTTATCCAGAGCGACTTAACTAAACACAAATGCTTCGTTTGTAAATTAAACTATCTGTAAATTTAAAAATGTAAAAATCGTGCTGTCTGGTTTGCTTAATATAAGGATTTTTAAAAATGATTTACACTTTACTATTAAGTTATCTTTACTTTTTCTCAATTATGACAATTGGGTACTTTTTCCACAACTGGATATTTCCCTTAAGGACCAATGGAATGGTCTACAATGTGCACACCCCGCCCACGTAAAACGAACTCGCCCATTGATACAAGGTAGGTTGACAGATTTGTAAAAAAAAATGTAAACAAACAACTGGGAAATCAATTGTGTTCGTGACATTTAATGCTAAGGCGAAGACAACTTTGATTGGGAAAGGTTGTAGCTTGATAGCTACGTTTGTCATTTTACTTTAATTGTTTATGCAAAACATAAATGGCCAGTCTGATAGTCGGATGTAGTTGTCAAGGTAGCCCAAGGAAATTGCGTCAGTTTTTCCTCGACATACTGATTAAGGTTGGTTGGTTGTATGGATCATTAATTAGCTAGCTATACGAGCATAATATAAGTGTCTGTTTATGGCAAAACTTGAGTTGATTAGCTGCTCAACTGCATCGACGCTCGGTCGACGGTTGCTAGCGCGGAGGTGGATCCGCCTGTCATTGTCGTGAGTGCGGTGTGTGATGCTGCACTTCAGCGCCAGGCTGTGCTGTGTTGTTAGGCCGCTAGCGAGTTTGTGTTGATTTTGCACTGACAGTGCTAAATGTGTAAAGTGTATAGTCATTGCAAATTGTGTAGCAGTAACTAGTATCCCTCTAGCGTTATGCCAAAGTTTGGATGGAAACGTTATTACTGTTATGGTCTTGCTCTCGACAAGACTGGCTATGCAGTTAGCTAGCTACTGTAACTAGCTTAGCCTATCTAGCACGACGTTTGCAGGCTAACTAGCAAGCTAAGTGTTGTTAACATCACTAGCAGCAGTTGGTCTACAACAACTTATGCAGCTTAGCTAGCTAAGTTGCTGATATCACTTGCTATATCAATTTACGCAATATGATAAACGGTTAACCAAAGCCAGGCAGTTGACAGGTAAGCTAGTGTGACGGGCATCGGGTGTTGACTGCTGATTGTAGCCCAAAGGCCGGTAGATGGCGCTTTCGAAACGACTCAATATCGCCATCTGCCGGCCTTTGGGTTATGCTGATTGTAGTGACTGTCGAAACTGTTCTGACTTGACACTGACAGTTTACGTGGTCTACTACTAGACCTCTACGTATCTCAAGTAGGTTTGGATTAGTTAGCTAGTAAATAGTCTGTAGATTTTCCACTGCTATTTTCAGGTTGTCTGACTGCATTTCATCTCCCTAGGCCCCAATCTAATAGCCTACAGTGAAGGCTCAGGCTGTCGTAATGTCGGAGCCCAAGGCACCCACCCCGACTCCGGCTGGAGACACATACAAAGGATGGCTATTCAAATGGACGAATTACATCAAGGGCTACCAGCGACGATGGTTCGTCTTGAGCAACGGTTTACTATCTTACTACAGGTAAGAATGGGGCGAGATGGGGTGACATGACATAGTACCTCTTTGCATCCTCTGTAACAGATAAGACTAACAGTTACCAGAAAAATTTCCAGCAGTTCTGTTAACAACAGTAAGGGCAGGTGGGAGCGAAGGACACTGTGCTAGCTAGCTTGTTAGCTAGGAGGACTCTGGTACACAGCAGGCGGGGGCAACACCTGTAGCTAGGTCCTAGGATACCGGTAGACAGTGTCCTTAGCCCCTGAAAAACTCTGATAATACTTTTATTTCCCCTTTGACCCACATTTTAATCGCCTAGACAATCAAGGGAAATCCCAAAATATCAAAAGTGTCACACAAGCATGAAGATGGTGTGCTTGAGGGGGGGGCGTTCCTACAGATGCCGGAATGCCACCATGCAGGAACGCCCTGAATTGCGGGCTGCAATCACACGCTATTGGAAAAATCTAGAAGAATGCCATTGTTATCCAGGGATATGGCTACGGTCATTTTGTCACTGTCAATATATAAACGGTTACATTATAGCTGTGATTTGCTCTGTGTTGCGTTGACATTTCCCCTGCACTACAAGGTGAATACAACTTGCTCTCCTTTATCATGAGTTTTGACTATGGCGCACAGTATCATAAAGAAATTGAAGCTAGAGGTCATCATGGATTCCCTGTGTAACTCTTTGCGATTTAATGGTGTCACAATATTGCATGACTCATCTCCGTTTTGCTTGCCACAGAGGTGTGTCTGAATACTTAGTGTGTTTTCAGCTCTGTGGGGGGAGTCATCATGTCTTCACAGGGCTGTGTAATATGACTCGTGTTTGTTTAATGAGTTTTGGAGACAGACGTAGCTGTGTACCATTCACCTCCCACTCCAAGCACGCTGTGTGTGTGTTGTGTGAACAGTACTGTTTGCCTAACAATTTAGAGTCTGGTGATAAGCACATCCAACAATTCACACACTTTTCATGTTCCTATCTCTGAGTCTTTTTCCAATGAGGTTGTTTTCTCTCGAGTAACTTGCCAAGAGTGCATTTAGCAAGACATTTGCTCAAAGGTTTTTGCAATCATGCAAAATTGCCAAACCAGAAATGGTGCAATGAAATGTTTTTCCAACACTAGGCTAGATTGCGCCTGAGATAACATAGCTGTATTGGACAGATTCCTTTGTTCCATATGAACAAATTAGTTAGGTAACAATAGCCAATAGTCCACACTGAACCATCAGTCAGCTGGTTTCTATTGCCACGCTTCCCTGTAGTCTGAGTATTGGGTCCCCCCCTCCTCTTTGCTGGTGTAATCTTAATGGTTCCTGGTTAAACTGGCTGTAATCAGATACCTTTACTTAATGGAATGTCAAAGAAAACATTAATGTGGAACAGAGAGCATTGTTGTCCAAAATTAGGTTACTCAATTTTGCTCGAACTAGCCTAAGGCTGCCTCAGTCTGAACATATTCCCTAGTCTCTATCCCTATTTCTGGTGTTTGCAGAAGAAAAGAAACCGGGTAGGTGAAATTGTCTTCCAGTAGGCTTAGAGAAGCTTCTGCCATATTGCTTCCTATATGGTTCCTTGATGAGCAAACACTGAAGGGGACCAGGTTAGGGGTCTAGGGGATGTTTTTGGACCAGCCGTACAAGCAAGAGTTGACTGGATAAGGAGCTGGTTCAGGAGTTGACTGGTAACGGAATTGACTGGTTACAGAGTTGACTTTTTCAGGAGTTGACACTAGTTAAACCCACCCCTCTCTCTCTCTGTTTCTCCCCAGGACCCAGGCGGAGATGGGCCACACGTGCCGGGGCACCATCAACCTGGCCACAGCCAACATCGCGGTGGAGGACTCGTGCAACTTTGTCATCTCCAACGGCGGGGCGCAGACCTACCACCTGAAGGCCAGCTCTGAGGTGGAGCGGCAGCGCTGGATCACCGCCCTAGAGCTGGCCAAGGCCAAGGCGGTCCGCAATCAGGCTGAGTCTGGTGAGGGAAGGAGAGGAGGAGGAAGGGATTTGTCTGTGATGGGTACAGAGAGAGGGTACGGGAAGGAGGGTTGAGGGGGGGCTGTCTGAGTGGAGTGTATACTGTATGTGTTTCTTCATGTTCCTTTGAGAAAGAGGAGGTTATTTTACAGTTTACTGTATAACCCCCAGTAAAAGTGATGGGGTGGGGCTATCATTCTGATAGAATGTAAAAAAATAAATAATGTTTTGTCATCTTTCAGCCAATCAACATTCAGGTCTCGACCCACCCAGTGTGTGTGTGTGTATGTATGTATGTATATATATATATATACTACCGGTCAAAAGTTTTAGAACACCTACTCATTCAAGGGTTTTTCTTTATTTGTACTATTTTCTACATTCTACACTTTTTTGGTTACTACATGATTCCATATGTGTTATTTCATAGTTTTGATGTCTTCACTATTATTCTACAATGTAGAAAATAGTAAAAATTAAGTAAAACCCTTGAATGAGTAGGTGTGTCCAAACTTGTAACTGGTACTATCTGTGTGTGTGTGTGTGTGTGTTCAACCCTTTCCTTTCTCTCTTCTCCAGACGACTCTGGTGATGAGTGTCCCACGTCACCCCCTACCTCGGGACAGGCCGGAGGGGCACGTAACTCTAACTCAGAGGTCCAGTCCACACTACGCACGCTGGGCAGCAAGGTGGAAGACCTGAGCACCTGCAATGACCTCATTGCCAAGCACGGCTCCGCCCTCCAAAGGTCAGGGGTCAACCCATCACTCTCACACAAACCTTACAATAAACAACTGGTTGAATCCCCATGTATAGACAACGATAGTAATGGAAGATAACTTTGACCACACACATAGAACACATCAATGGATGCAAAAAGCTATTGCTCTGTTCTATCCTTACAAGCACATAGTAACTGGTTGGCCAGATAAGGGCTAAGATTTTGTTATGGACCAGATATTTGTCTTGGTTGCAGAGTAGTCTTGAGTGAATAAACAAATGAGATGTACTACATACGAAAGGGATGCGCTGAGGGGATGGGTTGAAGGGACTGGCTTACGCTCCTTGGCTGTGCCTCTGTCCTAGGTCCCTGTCAGAGCTGGAGGGGGTGCGGCTGGGAGGCGACACGGATGGCAAGATCCGGCAGGTGACGGAGAGAGCCACGTTGTTCCGCATCACCTCCAACGCTATGATCAACGTACGTGTTGATGTTATAGTTTTTATAGTATGCAAAGGCTAAACTGGTTTACAAAGCATTGTACATAGAATACAGTGTAGGTCTAATAATAAAGTAAAGACAGCTGTACCTTGACTGTTACACAAACATTTACAAGGCTTTGTGGTGTTGTATGAATGTTCTTAAAGCGTTTCTGTGACGTTTCCCTGACATTCCTCTAACGTTCCTCCCCCCAGGCGTGCAGAGACTTCCTGGCCCTGGCCCAGGCCCACAGTAAGCGGTGGCAGAAAGCCTTGCATTCGGAGCGGGACCAGAGGATAAGGCTGGAGGAAACATTGGAGCAGCTAGCTAAGCAACACAACCACCTGGAGAGGGCCTTCAGAGGGGCCACCGTACTGCCCCCTTCCCAGAGCAACCCCACCCTGGACAGCAAGAGTAAGGCATCACCTCAGACCCCGAACAAACTGTTACATTAACTCTGTGACCCCTTACCTTTAACCCCTAACTCCCAAACTGACTGTTAGCATGCTAGTTAAGTCAACCAGTGAATCTACAACCCCACTCTCGTTCATAATATTTAGTTTTCTTCCTCTCTCTCAGGTTCGGGCTCAGTAAAGGGCGACGCGAGCGACGAGGATGATGAGAACGAGTTCTTTGACGCTATGGAGGACCCAGCGTTCATCACTGTACCGGCCGACCCCAAGTATCATAGGTCAGCACACCTTTACCTCTTTCTTTTTACTCTCTATCTGTCTTGCCCTGTTTCTCGCTCTCTTCCTTCTCTCTCTCTCAACCTCTTTTTATCAATACAAATGGCATGGTATTTTATGAGTGATAAACTGAGCTTTTAAAAGGCAAAACTGTAATTGGGTCAAATGCAATTCTTTCTTTCTCTCTATATATCTCTGTTTCTTTCTCTTCCACTCAGAAGGTCAGGAAGTAACGTCAGTGGTCTCAGCACTGAGACTGGAATCGATGACCAGTCGGTGAGTCTGTCACTGTGTTTTGAAGTTAAATATTTTTTTAGTTACTTGCTTTACTTGTCCCTTGAAATAAAAAAATTGTTTTGTTTGTTCTGCCTTCTTCTTTGGCCGCCCACAGCTTTGTGACGAGCAGTCGTTGGGGTCCAATTCGGAGTCGCCCCAGTCCCTGGAGGTGGAGCCAGTGAGGAAGAGGCGGACCAAAATCCCAGACAAGCCCAACTATTCGCTGAACCTCTGGAGCATCATGAAGAACTGCATCGGCAAGGAGCTCTCCAAGATCCCCATGCCTGTAAGAAACACGTGTGGTTGTGTGTGACTGTAGACTATTGCAGCACACCCTAACCGTTGCTTTCAGCTCTGCATTGTATTGAACGAGTGCAGAAGGCAGGGAACGACTTTCTGGAGTGAAATGCATCTACAGGTAACTGCCATGGAAATACTTGATTAAATGAGGGATACAAAGTATATTGAAAGCAGGTGCTTCCACACAGGATGGTTCCTGAGTATATTAAGCAATTAACATCCCATCATGCTTAGGGTCATGTATAAAAATGCCCAGTTGCCTAACTATTTTGGCTACCATGGCTAGAAGAAGAGATCTGTGATGTTGAAAGAGGGGTCTTAAAGGAGCATAGGGGGTTTAAAGGGTGTGTGTGTGTGTGTGTGTGTGTGTGTGTGTGTGTGTCTCAGTCACAAGATCTCAACCCAATTGAACATTTATGGCAAATTCTGGAGCGGTGCCTGAGACAGCGTTTTCCACCGCCATCAACAAAACACCAAATGATGGAATTTCTCGTGGAACAATGGTGTTGGCTATGAGGGGTGGCCAGTCCTCTTCTGGCTGTGCCGGGTGGAGATTATAACAGAACCATGCCAAGATGTTCAAAAATGTTCATAAGTGACAAGCATGGTCAAATAATAATCAGGAATAAATCTCAGTTGGCTTTTCATAGCCGATCATTAAGAGTTGAAAACAGCAGGTCTGGGACAGGTAGGGGTTCCATAACCGCAGGCAGAACAGTTGAAACTGGAATAGCAGCAAGGCCAGGCGGACTGGGGACAGCAAGGAGTCACCACGGCCGGTAGTCCCGACGTATGGTCCTAGGGCTCAGGTCTCTCAGTTGGCTTTTCATAGCCGATCATTAAGAGTTGAAAACAGCAGGTCTGGGACAGGTAGGGGTTTCGTAGCCGCAGGCAGAACAGTTGAAACTGGAATAGCAGCAAGGCCAGGCGGACTGGGGACAGCAAGGTGTCATCATGCCCGGTAGTCCTGACGTATGGTCCTAGGGCTCAGGTTCTCAGAGAGAAAGAGACCCTCCAATAGAGTTCCAGACACTTGTAGAATCAATCCCAAGGCGCATTGACACTTTATGTCAGTGTTCCTTTATTTTGGCAGTTACCTGTATTTTGCCCCTTCCATTCAAAGTTTCCTTTCTTCCTCTCCCCCTTTTCTCCCCTTCTCAGGTGAACTTCAACGAACCAATCTCCATGCTCCAGCGTCTGTCCGAGGACTTAGAATACTACGAGCTCCTAGATAAGGCAGCTAAATGCCAGAGCTCTCTGGAGCAGCTGTGCTACGTGGCTGCCTTCACCGTATCGTCCTACTCTACTACGGTCCACCGCACAGGGAAACCCTTCAACCCCCTACTGGGGGAGACCTACGAACTGGACCGGCTGAGGGAGAGCGGCTACCGCTCACTGTGCGAACAGGTAAAGGAGGGAGGGGGGGACACGGGATGACTGGTAGGAAAGAGAGGGAGGGTGGGCAATGGGGAATGACTGGTTGGGAAAGAGAGGAATTGGAAAAACAGAAGGGGGGGAGAGGGGCTACAGGTTCAAATGGGTGAGGGGCTAAGAGAGGGAGGGGGCAGAGAGAGAGTAGGAGAGAAGAAGCTTTGCATCTACAGTGCTCCTTTACTGTCGATGATGTACAGAAATGGCTATATGTTTTTAAAACCAATACACATTCAATAAACCACGAATTGACATCACAACAATTTGATCATATCAATCCGGTTTATTACAAGTTGCAACAAGGAGACCCCTCCCAGAACAAAAGCAGAGCAGGCCCTTAAATATTAATCACACAGCATCAAATGTTCTGTAAACACCAGCCCGAGAGGCTTGCAGGAAGTCGCAGCATTAGCTGCGAAAGTGTCACAGATCCATTATCACTGTCCTCGAATCCAGTCTGGCGTCAAACATTAACCATAACATTCAACACTGGCAGACATTTGATACTGGCAGTTAAACAGGTCAAAGGTAAGAACATCAGTACTTGGTTACAACAGATAATTATATACTACTTATTTAAATATATTACTTAAACATACATGGTTAACTCCTGTTTCCCTTCCCCAAGGGAATGCATCTGTCTGCGTCTCCCCGCACATACAGTAATGTTTATTACATATCAATCCATATCAACAGTAAATCAAATACAGGAAAATAATTACTCATTTACAATTCCCACAGTACATTTACAGAGAGGGCATCTATGGGTACAAACAGCCAGTTAGTCAGAGAACTGTCAAGAGTCACAGCGTTGTCAATAACCTGTGGTGCTGAAACGTCCTGTTCTGCTGTAGCATATTCCAATAGTCCGCCACATAATACCCATAAAAACACGGAAATGGTTCCAGTGGTCTTTCCGCCATTCATTTTTCACATCGGGAATTTTACAAAAAAATCGAATGAATTGTGTGTTTGGTGTATGCTTACCTTGGCGTGATGTTTTGATAGCCGTGAGTTTTATCAATATATTTGCCTCAATTGCCTCAATAAAATGTGCTATGCTAATTATTCATAAAGTTACCTTGTCCGAGAGAGATTTGCACGGTTATCAAAACGTCACGCCAGGGTAAGCCTACACGAAACCCAGACCTTATATGAAGTAGTTCTAAAATCCCAGATGGAAAAATGAATGGTGAAAAAACGATTGGAACCATTTCTGGGTTTTATGACTCATGCTGTGGTACTCCATTCCCTGGGGGAATTACTGAGAGGAAAACACCTTCTAGTGGCAGCTGTGGGAAACAACTGCACTCTACTCCCACATTCACACTCTTATGAAACTAATTTACATAAATTGTTTAAATATGTTGTTTTAGCCCAGCACAGCCACATCTGACTCAAGTAATCGGCTAATCATCAAGCCATTGATTAGTCGAATCAGGTGTTTTAGTGCACAGTTAGAAAGAAAAATGGTACCTTGTGGGTCCCCAGGACTGCAGTTGCGAAACACTGTGCTAAGTGACTCAATTGTAATATAGCCCTACCCAATCCTCCTCTATCCCTTCCTCCAGGTGAGTCACCACCCGCCTGCAGCGGCTCATCATGCCATCTCAGAGAGAGGCTGGACCCTCCGACAGGAGATCTCCCTCGCCAGCAAGTTCAGGGGAAAATACCTCTCCATCATGCCTCTGGGTAAGGCAGTGTGTGAGGACTGGTAGCTGCCAGCGAATGTCTCCATCATACTCTTTTTATTTTTTGTTTAGTTGGCATTTTACATCTTTGCTGTGGTGTAATCATCTTCCACAGGTTCTATCCAATGTATGTTTGAGAAGAGCAACAATCACTACTCGTGGAAGAAAGTCACTACAACAGTACACAACATCATTGTGGGCAAATTGTGGATCGACCAGGTAAGAAAAATGTCACACTCAATCTTTGGCATAGACTCATCCAGATCCTACAATGGGCGTTAGGAGATTTTAGACCAATTCCAAGTATAAAAAAAACATTCAAGATTTATTTTGGTGAACTACACATTCCATTCTCTCTCTGGTTTTCTCAGTCGGGAGAGATAGACGTGGTGAACCACCAGACCGGCGACCGCTGCCATCTCAAATTCGCGCCCTACAGCTACTTCTCCAGAGACGTGGCCAGGAAGGTGACTGGCGTGGTGACAGACAAGGAGGGTAAGGCCCACTATGTGCTGTCAGGGACGTGGGATGAGAAGATGGAGTTCTCCAGGGTGATGCAGAGCAATAAGGGAGAGAACGGCGCCGAGGGCAAACAGAAGACCGTCTACCAGACGCTCAAAGCCAAGGAGCTCTGGAAAAAGAACCCACTACCGTGAGTAGAGTGTGGGGGTGGGTGAGGTTGTGTGGGTGTGTTTTTGCTGAAGAGGTGCAGCAAACGAAAAATACATTTGGTGTGTCAAAGAACATGGCTTTTTCAATCATCTCACCTTTGGTCTTTCTCTCTCTTTCCTATCTGTCCCTTCCACTTCCTCCTCCTCTCTCTCTCTCTCTCTCTCTCTCTCCTCATTTCCCTCTTTATTTCCCATCCTCTCTCTTCCTCCCATCTGCAGTGAGGGAGCGGAGACCATGTACTACTTCTCGTCGCTGGCGCTGACGCTCAACGAGCCCGAGGAGGGCGTGGCGCCCACCGACAGCCGGCGGCGGCCCGACCAGCAGCTGATGGAGGCGGGCCGGTGGGACGAGGCCAACGCCGAGAAGCAACGGCTGGAGGAGAAGCAGAGGGGCGTCCGCCGCGAGAGGGAGAGAGAGGCCCAGCGCGCAGCCAACCTGCCCGAGGAGGGGGCAGAGGGGGTGGAGGTAGCAGAGGACGGTAAGAAAGAGGGGGGGGCGAGGGAAGGAGGTGCAAGAAGGGCTACGTCCCAATTATCTCTCCTTCCTTAGTGTTCACTTGTTGACTTTCCTATACTTATTTGAAAGGAAATGACTGGTATAAGAAACATGGTGGAGATGCCCACTAACCAATGCCTCACCAATCCAATGTGTGAAGTAGTAAACAAGTGCAGGATATTATTGGGACGTGCCCAAGATGGGAGCAAGATTCATTTCTTGTGCTTGTGAGTAAGCAAGTACTCCCCATTAACTTGAATGAGGAGTCTGTGCTCTTTGGCTTCTATTGTAGCTAGAGAGAGGGAAATGAGATGGAGGCAGGTTTGAGGGAAGAAAAAGTGAGTGTCGTCCTAGAGCTGTCTGTGTTCATATTCTGTCTACCAGTCTGTCCCTTTCTCCTCTTGTACAGTTGAAATCGGAAGTTTACATACACCTTAGCCAAATACATTTAAACTCAGTTTTTCACGATTCCTGACATTTAATCCTAGTAGAAATTCCCTGTCTTAGGTCAGTTAGGATCACCACTTTATTTTAAGAATGTGAAATGTCAGAATAATAAGAGAGAATGATTTATTGCAGCTTTTATTTCTTTCATCACATTCCCAGTGGGTCAGAAGTTTACATACACTCAATTAGTATTTGGTAGCTTTGCCTTTAAATTGTTTAACTTGGGTCAAACGTTTCGGGTAGCCTTCCACAAGCTTCCCACAATAAGTTTGGTGAATTTTGGCCAGTTCCTCCTGACAGAGCTGGTGTAACTGAGTCAGGTTTGTAATCCTCCTTGCTCGCACACGCTTTTTCAGTTCTGCCCACAAATGTTCTATAGGATTGAGGTCAGGGCTTTGTGATGGCCACTCCAATACCTTGACTTTGTTGTCCTTAATCAATTTTGCCACAACTTTGGAAGTATGCTTGGGGTCATTGTCCATTTGGAAGACCCATTTGCGACCAAGCTTTAACTTCCTGACTGATGTCTTGAAATGTTGCTTCAATATATCCACATAATTTTCCTTCCTCATGATGCCATCTATTTTGTGAAGTGCACCAGTCCCTCCTGCAGCAAAGCACCCCCATAGAATGATGCTGCCACCCCCGTGCTTCACGGTTGGGATGGTGTTCTTTGGCTTGCAAGCCACCCCCCTTTTCCTCCAAACATAACGATGGTCATTATGGCCAAACAGTTCTATTTTTGTTTCATCAGACCAGAGGAAATTTCTCCAAAAAGTACGATCTTTGTCCCCATGTGCAGTTGCAAACCATAGTCTGGCTTTTTTATGGCGGTTTTGGAGCAGTGACTTCTTCCTTGCTGAGCGGCCTTTCAGGTTATGTCGATATAGGACTCGTTTTACTATGGATATAGATACTTTTGTACCTGTTTCCTCCAGCATCTTCACAAGGTCCCTTTGCTGCTGTTCTGGGATTGATTGCACTTTTCGCACCAAAGTATGTTAATCTCTAGGAGACAACGCGTCTCCTTCCTGAGCGGTATGACGGCTGCGTGGTCCCATGGTGTTTATACTTGCGTACTATTGTTTGTACAGATGAACGTGGTACCTTCAGGCGTTTGGAAATTGCTCCCAAGGATGAACCAGACTTGTGGAGGTCTACAATTTTTTTTCTGAGGTCTTGGCTGATTTTGTTTGGATTTTCCCATGAGGCACTGAGTTTGAAGGTAGGCCTTGAAATACATTCACAGGTACACCTCCAATTGACGTCAATTAGCCTATCAGAAGATTCTAAAGCCATGACATCATTTTCTGGAATTTTCCAAGCTGTTTAAAGGCACAGTCAACTTAGTGTATGTAAATTTCTGACCCACTGGAAATGTGATACAGTGAAATAATCTGTCTGTAAACAATTGTTGGAAAAAGTACTTGTGTTATGCACAGAGTTAGATGTCCTAACCGACTTGCCAAAACTATAGTTTGTTAACAAGAAATGTGTGGAGTGGTTGAAAAACGTTTTAATGACTCCAACCTAAGTGTATGTAAACTTCTGACTTCAACTGTATATGTCTGTCTGTCTGTCTTTCACACGTTTGTCTGTCTCTCTGTCCCCCAAGCTGTCATTGAGGACTCTTTCATCACTGACTCGCCTTTGAAAAGCAAGTACTCCTCTCTTCCTCGTCTTTTCTCCCTATTGTCTCACTCTACCTTTACTCTCTCTCTCACACAAACGATCCAATCCACTTTTCACAAGGTAGGTGTATTTAATACCTCTGACTATCCATCACCTCATCTCATAATTTCCCGCTTTCTTTGTTCATCCATCCTTGGTTTGTGCTGTGTTCAGCCGATGCAGTGGAGATTGGTACGGAAGCGAGCCATGCTTCAGATGAAAGCAAGTACCACTAACTCCCCCCTTTCCTCTGTCCATCTTCCTCGCTTTCTCCACCCTTTCGCTCTCTTATTCCCTCCCTTTCTGACACTTGATCCGTCTATCACTTTCCGTTTAGATTGTGTGTGTGTGTGTGTGTGTGTGTGTATATAGACAAAGGTAGTTAGACAAATACTAGCTAGCTAGCTTTCTTGTGATGCAAATATGCTAGTCAATCAAAACCAGGGTCGTATTCATTAGTGCACACTGTAGCAAAATGTTTAGCAACAAAAACAAGAGTTTCTTATTGGACAAGTTCAGGAAGTCCCCTCCCTGTTTCGGGACGTTTTTCTACCTACGCTGTCTATTGAATACAACCCAGATTTCCAGGCTATGCCTAGAAACGACTTGTTCTTGTGCTGTGAAATGCACATTTGAATTCTAATACTCAATAGAGGAATGTTTAAAGTATGTTTTGAAAACTATTTTTGATATGCAGCAATGTCCAGTGGTGGCAAACAGCTCAGTAGCGTAGTAAAAGTAGGCTAGCTTTAATTTTGCACATCACACCAGTAAGTATCATCGTATATTAAATACATTTATTTGGTTAGGTTGTAGGTTCTTTTTTTATGGACAGTCTTCTTTCCCCTCTTCTTTTCATCATTTTATTCCTTTCTTGTCAATTTTTCATGTTCCTCTCTCCCCCTTCAGCGGACCCAGATGATTCTCCACCTCACACTCCAAGCAAGTAGCCCTCTACTCTCTTCCTCTCTATACCACTGTCTATTTCTATCCACACACTCACATACTCATCTGTCAGTCTTCCCTTTTGCAGCCCCACGTGGTCCGCCCCTCTCAGAGTATCAAAGCAAGTATTAATAGTTTGGGACACACACACATGATTTCATTCTCACACCTATTTAGATGCATTTTCCACATCAACCATCATATCTTTACATCTTGTTCCCCCCCCCCCCAGTGGATGACATGGAAGGTCATTATGGAGCTGCGGTCAAAAGCAAGTAACGCCAGTGTTGTTCTTTCTCTCAGTCTCCTCCTCTGTTGTTATTTGTCTGTAGTTTGTGTCTCCTTCCTATTAGAAGCTCTAGTAGTTGCAGTATCACTTGTTTGAGAAATACTAGTTCCCAAAGTCTCACGGCGTTCGTATGTGTGAAATCTTGTAGCACTAGAAATGAACTCTGGGAACTATTGTAGCTAGACACCACCATACTGCAGCAATGTTGTCCTTGTCACCGTATTGTTCTAATGTTCCGGTTCTCCAGGATCATACCAAAGAGGGATGAGCCAATACTGTCATAATCATTGCTCAAGCAGTGACAGAAAACCCCTGATCTCATCCTTCTTTTATATGGTCTTGATGCAGAAGTTCCTTTCCCAAAGCTTCCATGGCTGGTCCTCAACATCTATTCTTTCAATAGATTAACTCATTCTTTTTCTTGTTATTTCCGTCAGGCGTCCACCAGGACAACTATGAGGCGATGTGGTTCGAGCGGACCGAGGACGCCGTCACGGGAGAGTCCATGCACGTCTACAAGGGGGGCTACTGGGAGGCGAAGGACCTCGGCAACTGGGACATGTGCCCCGATATATATTGATCCCCCCCCCATCAGCAAATTGTACTAACCCAGGCATTTGGAACATGGAAGGCCAAGCCACCCTTTTTCCCCAATTGAAGAAGGGGCAAACTGGGTATCGACACTGTTTAACCCCAACCCTCCCTCTTTCAGGATAGATTTTGGGTTGTAATGGTACCTCTCCCCTATCACTCTCTGTGAGGATGGTGTGCATAGGGGCTGTGAGACCCTGCAGGACAGTAGGAAAGTGCAACCGGACAGGGGGACAGACCTGCTTTCTTCTGCCTTCATCTTCCGTGTAGGGTCAAGTTGCCCCTAGATGCTGATCTGGGATCAGTTTTGCATTTCCCCCCACTAATGTTTAAGGTTAGGATTGGAGGAGCCAAAGCTGATCCTAGATCTGTAGCTAGGGAAAGCTTCATCTTCACTTCGATGATTTGATATCTCCCTTTAGAGCCACTTTCTGTTTCTTCCTTTGCCCCTCTCTTTCTCTCACCCTCTCTTTATCTCACCCTCTCACCCTTGCTATGTTAGCCGTAGAAAAGACTGGGGGCAGAAAGGTGTAGTCTGGTTGTTAGATTCTAGCGATTTAACACTATCAAACAGAGACCCTTCAAATGTCAAACACTAACTCTACCTTGCTCCTCTTCCAAAGGACATGGACTAACTGCATATGAACATGGCATAAACGCATATCGACGTGAACAGTTTGTGTGAGAGAATATGTCTGTGTGTGGGGGGGGGTGTTATTATAACAATGGGTTGGTGCTTATGTCCGCTTTGGGTCTGCCAGATTTTCAAAGCTTCACAAATGCTGTATAAGAGGTGTGTTTGAGAGAAAGGGGGTGAGCAACAAATGCATGAGCCCGCGTGTGTGCGCTTGCGTGTGAGAGTGAGAAAATGAATGCGTGTGTTTGAGAATGAGTGTCCTTCTCTAGAACTTGGTGACATCACATTAGCTTCTCTGCTGTGGCTGTTTTGCACAAGGATAGTTTGGGCTTGGAGCCTGTTATCCCTCTCGAAGCAGCGGAATCGGCTAAATGAAGGATGTATCGTCATAAAATACTATTTAAACAGTTCCTACAACTCCCTACATCCCAAATATGGCTTCCACCACCTCTTCAACAGCAAAACAATCTAGCGTAGCCTTATAGTTTTTATTAGGGTTAAGTTTGTGAGGCAGACTCGACCAAAACACATTGGAATAGTGGCCTAGTAATTTAGTGGGTGTGTGGATGCTTCCTAAATGGCACACTATTCCCTATATAGTACACTTCTTTTGACCAGACCCCTATTGGCCCTGGTCAAAAGTAGTGCACTATAAAATAATAGGGATGCAGGGGAGATTACTCTTAATCTACATGAACTAAAGTGTTTGTGTGTGTGTGCACTTGTACAGAATGTGAGCTTGAGTGCGAGGTTTGTGAGTTCCAAAAATAAGATAAATCCCATTTTATTTTCAAGTGTACTTAAAAAATGTGTTTGAGATCGAGGAAAAAAGGAATACAAAGCGAAACAGAACATTGCTAATATTTGTGTATATATCAAATGAAGTAATAATTAGTGCTATTAATAATATTGATAATTATAGTTAGATCTAAGTATGGTGATTGTGTTTAAGGTCAGAGAGAACTCCCAGTTTTTCTGAAATAGAACATTACTGTTTTTCTCCTAGAACTGGATTGTCCATTAATTGTAAGTCAACTGTAACTTGTTTGATCACTTCTGCATTGTCTCCTACTCCCTGGCCCTGTACAACTGATGTACAATACATTTGACTGAACAGTTGTGATCCAACAGTTTGTTTGCACAACAAAAGTTACTGCTGTGAAGACGCCACACAATGGTTGTGCTTTTTTTCTTCAAATACAAACGGTTGCTTCACAATATCAGTACATCAGTTGTCAAACCAGAGTTTGTACCCGTCTAAGAGTTGAATGTTCATTATTATTGTACCGCCATATTGTTTATATGGTCTGTGAGTTTAGTTTCTTTCACTGTCTTTTTTATTAATCTGTTTTTATTCATTTTTTCAATAATTACATCTTGTTTCTCCATTCGTCGTAGTGTCCTATCTTTTTATGCCCATTCATTCTCTCTGTTATGGATCTTGGTCAGTGCGCTGAGTATAACAGCTTTGCAGGGTGATGTAATAAAGCCTGACTGGAGAAGAAGTGCACACTTGCTGTATAACGTCATTATTCCTCTAATGCAACACACTAAAGGGGGCAAAAAGCTTGCAATGGTGATGTAGTGGACCACAAAGAAAAAGGTTGGGAGACCCACTTGTATAAATGTATAGAACAATTGTTTGTTTAATGGAATATTGCATTACGCTCCAGTAAAACATAGTACAAGTTGAAAAGTTCAAGTAAAGATAAGAATTCTTCCAGCCCACGTTTGGATTTCCGCAGAATAGAGGTAGGAGGCACTTTTTGCATCTGCAATGCTCCACAGGTGGTAATTTGTTTTGAAAGGGTTTGCTGCCCATGCGCTCCAGTCCCAACAGCCTCACACACAGTGAGCATAGATAGCCATATCGGCCTTACCTAGGCACTGTGTAGATCTGAAAGGATTGGATAGATTTGAAGCAATGGTGAAAATTCCACCTAGCCTTATCGATGGAAAGCTCGATCGCCTTTTTATCCTGGGGGAACTGCAATACCGGGTCAATGTGTGGAGCAAGCTCCGTTTCTGACTGGTTCTTTCATATCTACATGAAGTGCCTAGGGGGTGCTTCTCAATAGGGCTCTAGATCTGAACGTCCCATCAGTCAACCTGTGCACTCCCTCTACTTGTCCCCTTTGCCACCTTTCCGTGCAGCTTTTGGGTTCCTGGGCTGTGATTTCTGCAGCATGGCGAGTGTGTCCCTCTTCTCGATCTTCCTCAGCTGTTTCTTCTTCATCCTCTTGATCTTCGTTGTGTTCCGGATCTGGGATGGAAAATTCAGACAGGGAAAGATACAAAATTATGTAGCGCTTAGCCTGGGACCATATGTATCAAGCGTCAGAGTAGGAGAGCTGATTTAGTATCAGTATTGCCTTTTAGATCACAAATGAACAAGATAACATGGACATGGGGGAACCTGATAGAACTGCACTTCTACTCTGAGACAATTGATACATACGGCCCCTGAAGTCAGCAATAGAGATCTGCCTGGCTCATGTAGGTTACAGTGAGAAACAAAGACTCCATCTCATTTGGGATCACGTGGGGCTGTGTGTTGCCTTACCACTTGCACAACCTCCGCCTTCCTCTCGTTCTCAGCTCGCCTTTTTAAGTTCTCCTCATGCCGCTTCCTCTTTTCCTGTAAGGGATGAAAGATACCCGCAAACAATTACATCATGAGGGGACACCTAAACAATCACAGTTGCACTGCCAACCTCTAATGATGTGCGTTCAATAACACTGGGAACTCTGAAAAATACGAGGTCAAATCACGACGTCAGTGAGCTTCAGGTCGGAGCTCTAGAAAGAGGCCTGAGTTCAAAACGATTTCCCCCAGTCAGAGCTCGTTTCTTTCCGCCAGAGTTCCCAGTTGTCTTGAACGCACTGGTCTGAGATTTCAGAGTTTCCAGTTGTTTTGAACGCAGTCTAAGCACTACTTTTTAAGATGTTAGAGCACTAATGTGAACAGGTGACGACACAGACCTCTTTCTCCCTGGCCTTGTCCTCCTTCAGTTGCACTGAATATTTCTTCACCAGCTCCTTCTCTCGCTTGGCCTCCATCTTCTTCTCCCAGGAGGAGCACAGTGGCTTATCTCTTACAAGAGCCGAGAACCTGAAAAACAAAGTCATTCTATAGAGGTACATTTCATAAACAATTTCTGGACACCATAGGCACAGTGTTTGCATGGGCTGAGCTGACTAGTAATAGTTTGCATATGCATGCAGTTAATACATTGTAGGCTATTGCAACTTGCCCCTATATGACCCATTATGCCACTACTGACCTTTGCTTGTTGCGGTCTTTCCATACCCGTCCGGATTTCGGTTTCCCCAAAGGTATCAGCGTAATTTTCTCATTTGACTCTGAACGAGTCCTCTTTTTGGCCGATTTATTTGGGCGGTCCGGAAAGGTCTCCATTGTTACGGGACCAGCCTTGTTTTCCTTCTCGTTACAATGATGTGACACGGCTGGAATAACTGTACCTAATGATTTCTCTACATGCGTGTCTGATTTTACTGGTTCTGGACATGCCTCAGCTGTTGCCAATACATTTGATTTGGACTCGCTGCTTGGAAGTTTTTTCTCACGAGCCTTGTCGGCAACGGGTCCCACGACTACAACCTCTGGTTCGGGTTCCGTCTGGTTCTCTGCATTCTCATTCGGTAACTCTTGAATGACAGATTTCCTTGTTCGGCGTGTTGGAGTCTTCGGTACTTCAGAGTCAAGATACACAGCTGGGGTCCGTACTCTGCGCCCGCTACGAGTTCGAGTCACAACCGGAGGAGGCAACTCGTCCTCTTCGGCCTCCAGTCCTTCGTTAGGTGTTATTTTCTCACTTGTCGACATGTTGTCCAAATGATATGACGTTGTGACCACCAATAATCAATACATATGTTGTTATTTACAGACCTTCAGAAGCGACAAACTGAGCAGAGTTCAGAAGCCCACGTGTGTGTTTATGATGCGAACCACCACCGAGGGAGAAGAGATGACAGGAAGTACGACAATACAGTTTGTGCCTTGGGCATTCCGTGAGACTGCCGCCTACTGGTAAGGCATCCGTACTGTCACAACAGACATCGTCACATGACAATATGACAAAACTTCCGCATCTCATCTCTTTACGTTCAGTTATTCAGTCAGTGGATCACGAAATTCAAACATGGTTTGCTCAAGAGTTGGAGTTGTGCTACTGTATTCCCTCTTTGCAAGTACAGTAAGTACTCTTACATAGATAATATCGTAATAGCTTAGACTGAATTAGTGGGAAAAGAAAACAGACAGATGGCAAGCTACCTAGTCAGAATTCAAGCCTCCTTTTGGAATGCACTTAAAATTTGAATGATGTTTAGATTAGCCTATAACTTGAACTAATCGCAGGTTCCTTGAACCATTTACACGCTGGTGCACTGACTTAGCATGTCTGGGTTGATTGCTTTCAAAGTAGCTAACTAGCAACATTTCAAACTCTGTTTAGCTGACATTAACTATCACAGTTGATCTACTGCAAGCCATAGAAATTAATAACGTAAATGTACATTAGAATGACCTCTTTTCCCCTCTGTATTCATTTTAATCGAGAAGTAGACCTTTTCAACTTTGGCAAAGCGTCAAGTCTATTAAACATAGTGCACTGTGTTCGTAACAGATTCTAGTTTTGTGAACAGAAAAGAAAAACGCTGAATGTCGGCCCAGTTTCACCTAGTTTCATCCTCTCACACGACCCCTGACTGGACTTCCTCTCACTACCATATATTTGGTGGTGAGAACGTTCTAAACGGATGCTTCAGCTTTATAGTGTCAGGGTTACCCCTTCTGTCTGTGGTTGATCTAGCCATATAAATTAATAAATTAAGCCATATAAATTATACAAATTAAGCCATATAAATGAATAACATAAATGTGCATTAGAGTGTCCTCTTTTGCTCTCTGTTAATTTTCATCGCGATGTAGGCCTTTTCATTTTATACCCCCAGCAACATCACTTGACTAGAGGACAAAGATTGGCAGTCACGTTGTTGCCAACCTTGTGCCATCACCTGATAAATCACCCCTTCACCATAAAAAGCTGAAACTGTAACAGAACAGTTACATGACTGCAATGAAATTATACCAATTGCTCTCAAGATGCGTTCCCTCAGACAACTATCTCTCTAAAGTCAGTTTGTAGCCATAAAAAAAACAGCACACTGACTGCATGGCTCCCCGGGATTTAAAACTACTATATGTGACCCTTACTTTGTTTAAATCTCTGTCAGCTTGGAGTGCCGCAGACCTTCAGTGTGGACTACAAGAACGACTGCTTCCGTAAGGATGGGGAAGAGTTCCGCTACATCTCCGGTAGCATCCACTACAACAGGATCCCCAGGGCCTACTGGAAAGACAGGCTACTCAAGATGTATATGGCCGGACTGAACGCCATTCAGACGTATGTAGACTTAGCCTGACGACTCACACTAAGTTATTTCGCTGCTCTGTCGTTCGCTACATACTTTAGTCTGAGACTGTCATAATTGAAGTTGTTTGTGGTGAAGAGGGGCGTTGTGCAAAACAATGTCATCAGCGATTGGATCGTCTCTAACCAATCAGAGTATCAATCCGCCTCTTTACTCACGTGTGTTCTGGCTCTGGCCCAACCCATTGGTTTCTGGACCAATCAGACGGCCCAGAATGTGTTCTCATTCGGTGAACAGTCGGGAGGTATACTCAGATCCAGACTCATTGTGGAGAAGAAACTTACGTCCGTAGGCTTGGAGTAGCGTTTAGCTGGAGCAAGGAGTCTGGGTAGCCAGACAAATGTAGACTGGCCACTATGTCATAAATACACTGAATGCCAACCAGTTAGATGAGTGTCTTAAATGTTCCTTCTAGTTTTCAGTTAGTCATTTCAGTGGCCAATTGGTACATAGAATTGATGTTGATCAAGTAATTCAAAGACAGAGCCATTTAGTCACATCACCTCCAAATGTTGATAACCCAACAGAATTCCTTTGGTGGGCCGTAAACCTCAGACAGAGCTATGATTTACTATCCGGTGATATGGACTTAAATAGTACTTCATTATCCATTTTGGTTGAAAAATTACATTTGACATTCCAGGTACGTCCCCTGGAATTTCCACGAGCCCTCCTCGGATCAGTACAACTTCAGTGGGGACAGGGATCTAGAACACTTCCTGCAGTTGGCCCAAGACATTGGTCTGCTGGTTGTACTGAGGCCTGGGCCCTACATCTGTGGAGAGTGGGATATGGTGAGAGAATGACTGTAAACAATTGTTTTATGATTAATATACAAGTTGATGATATGATGTGTAATAATGTTGGCAAATTGTGCCTGTATTTCAAGTTGTTTACGGAAGACGATCAGTCACAATGTAGTAACGGCACTTCTACATCAGCCGTGTATTTCTTGACGGACTGTGTGATAATTTGCCAATTTCATGACCTGGTCTTTAGGGGGGCTTGCCTGCCTGGCTGCTCCACAAGAAAGACATTGTCCTGCGTTCCTCAGACCCAGGTGTGTATTGACTGTCAGATGAGAATGCAATGCATTCTATTAGTATTACAATATAAGAATTGTGTTTTTATGTAATTTAAATCCGTTTGTTTCAGATTACATTGCGGCTGTTGATAAGTGGATGGGCAAGCTACTGCCAATGATAAAACCGTTCCTTTATCAGAACGGTGGACCCATCATCACTGTTCAGGTGAGTCATGTTGATATTCAATGATTAATACAAAATTAATTGGGGAATCAATAGCAAAAGTTCAGATAACTTCATATTGTGCCTTAAAGCTGTACAATTCAATAGAAGACTGTTTGTCAAACATTGCCTCTCATCTCCTCAACAAGAGCCCATCTCTCTCTCTCTCCTCTCCCTCCCCCTCCTCCCCTTCTCTCTCTCAGGTGGAGAATGAGTACGGCAGCTACTTTGCCTGTGACTACAACTACCTGCGTCACCTGACCAGTCTGTTCCGCTCCCATTTGGGGAATGACGTGGTGCTGTTCACCACAGATGGGGCTGGGGTCGGGTACCTCAAGTGTGGCTCTCTGCAGGGCCTCTACGCCACTGTGGATTTTGGCCCAGGTAGGCTTCTGAGGCAAATATCTAGGATCAGATTATATTTCCCAAATCACTACCATACTGATAATAGGGGAAATGGCAAGACAGGCCTTAGATCAGTGTCAAGGGGGAACTGATGCAAGTCAAAATATACACAACAAAGATCAATGGTGATAATTTTTCAGTGAAATGCCTGGGATACTTGGTTAATGGAACAGGTATGATTTGAAGAAGCATAGGGGTGTTCAGTTGGTATGGTATCTATCTGTCTTAGATCTGACTGTGCTGTTGGGTGGTTGTTGATCATGTGACGTCTAACCTAGCCTATTTCCTTTGTTTGCCAAAACAGACGTGTTGACTCATTGCGCCTTAGAAATCTATGACTCATGTGTTATACCATCTCATCCAGCATTGTTCAATAACTGTCTCTGTCTGTCTGTATACGTCTGTATTTGTTTAACAGGTGGGAATGTGTCTGCTGCATTTGATGCCCAGAGACAGGCAGAGCCCCATGGACCCTTGGTAAGCGTCTCTGTCATTAGATGTTTATTTTTTATATTATTTTGTATAATTTTTTTCTCCACTCCAGATACAAACTTATACGAACAACAACTTACAGACGCACACAAACAATAACTACATGTCGTTAGATGTTAGTGGTAAAAGTCCAACACACTTCTGTCCTCTCTAGCATGGCCAGATAGTGCTGACTGTATCCTGTGTTGCAGGTGAACTCTGAGTTCTACACCGGCTGGCTGGACCACTGGGGAGAGCATCACTCTACAGTGTCCACCGCCATCGTGGCCAAGTCCCTCAACGAGATCCTCGCCATCGGAGCCAGCGTTAATCTGTGAGTCATGGTGGATGGATAGATGGATGGATATTGGGTATAGACAGCGAGATGGATTGATTGATTTGATAGATTCGAATGACAGACCTTTAAATTTACATTTTAGTCATTTAGCAGACGCTCTTATCCAGAGCGACTTACAGGAGCAATTAGGGTTAAGTGCCTTGCTTAAGGGCACATCGACAGATTTTTCACCTAGTCGGCTCGGGGCAACGCTCTAGTCGGTTACTGGAACAACGCTCTTACCCACTAAGCTACCTGCCGCCCCGCCTAAATGGTAGATCAAGTAATAATTAGTTCACCAACCAACAATGATTGATAGGAATATGTGTTGACATCATCACACATAAAACATTTAACATCAAAAAGGCACAGAGGATTTTTCAGCTGTTGACAACTAGTTATAAACCTCTCTCTCTGCAGATACATGTTTATTGGAGGAAGCAATTTTGGATACTGGAATGGTGAGTCAAATTGTTCAATGATCCCATATTCTCTAGCGCTCTATTGCAGAACCCAATCTATTTCACTTTATTTGTGTTTGGCCATGATGTGAAGATTAGTTTCTTTAAGTGAAATTGCCCAAGAAGCCGGTGTTTGGAGGATATATTGGCACGGGTGTTGTTAGGCCCGAGATGTTAGTCCAGTCAGATGGAACAGAGTAAATAGGCATTTTAACGTCATAGATTTAGCCGGTGGTAACTTGTGGAATAGACACCGGCTGGAATGCGGTTTTAACTAATTCAGGATTAGACCCACCCGTTGTATAAAATCACGTTTGTCTCTTCATACTCTCAGGTGCCAATAGCCCCTATGCCCCCCAGCCTACTAGTTATGACTATGACGCTCCGCTCACTGAGGCAGGAGACCTCACTGACAAATATTTTGCCATCCAGGATGTCATCAAAATGGTTGGTAACAGAGATATCACACTACATGTCATACATACAATATGTTTGATTAGAGTATGCTTTCTCGTGACTTTTATAGCAAAAGTTTATATGGTCAGCATTTTAGTACCCTGACTTCTTATAAGCTTGAAATGGGTAGTAATTAAAGGTAAATCAGTCAGTTTTACAAATGATTACCTAATGATGTCATATCCACCTGTATTTTCCCTCAACAGTATCGGAAGATACCAGAGGGACCCGTGCCTCCATCAACACCTAAATATGCCTACGGAGCTGTGCCAATGAAGAAGGTAGATCATCTTCAGACATTAAACATTTGAGTTAACATTTTTATCAACGTTTATTTGTCATATGCACGGATTAAAGAGAAGTGTACACAGTGCAATGAAATGCAAGAAAAGGCACTGCTGAGATTCGAACTCAGGATCTCCTGTTTACTAGACAGGCGCTTTAACCAACTAAGCCACAGCGCCGGATAGAAATGTCTTTACCTTTACCTGACTTTGTTGACACATTGCACACAGTGTGGAGAAGTGTTGCAATATTTACATTTTAACATTTAGTCATTTAGCAGACACTCTTATCCAGAGCAACTTACAGTTAGTACATTCATCTTAAGACAGCTAGGTGGGACAACTACATATCACAGGCATAGAAAGTACATTTTTCCTCAATAACGAAGCTATCAGTAGAGTCAGAGCTAGAAGGGTGGGGGGTGGGGAGGGTTAAGTGCAAGTTCTGGTTAAGTAATTTTATTATTAAAAAATACATTGTATCATAGGCATATCATAATACACTAAAAGAAAATTGATATTTTCTCTTTTTCCTCTTGTGTTGATTGAGCATGGAGTGTACACCGTGTAGAATATAATCCAGTATATTCCAACAGAATGTGTTTCTTTCTGCCTCCTCAGCTTCACACAGTAGTCGATGCTCTAGACATACTGTCCTTCTCCGGTCCGGTGAAAAGCCTCTACCCGTTGACCTTCATTGAGATGAACCAAGTACGTCCACAAGCTCAATGTCGGTCTGTCCTTTTCTACACTAAGTGTAAGCGGCTATGGTTGTTATGATCCAAAATGGCTGAGGCTTTGCTCGCTTTATTTGTTTTCTCTCCAAAAGCCGTTTGGGTTCGTCCTCTATCGGACCAAGCTGCCTGTGGACTGCAGTAAGCCCACCCCTCTCTCCTCACCACTGAATGGAGTCCATGATCGGGCATATGTATCAGTCGACGGGGTGAGTTAGTCATCAAAACTTCCCCTGCAATTCATTTGGTTTGCTGCAAGTTAACATGTTGGTGCTCAATAATGGTCAATGGTCACACATTCTTGTCCAAGGAGGACGGGTTCTTGTCCCGGGCTCAGCACTAGAACACCCAATTTAGACCTTGATTAGTGAAATCTGTGTTGTAGTGCTGGACTGGAACCAAGACCTGCACAGCATGTAGGTCTCAAGAACCAGTTGGTGATCACTGTCATTCATACGATGTCAGACTGAGGCACTGATTATTATCTCAAAAGAGGAAGAGAGAAAAGTCTTCAGGTTCTTCAAAAAAAGGAAAATGTCTGTCGTAATTCAATATGGTCTGTCATCAGGTTGCTGCTGGGATCCTAGAGAGGGACAAGGCCCTGACCATTAATGTGACTGGGAAGGCTGGGAGTCAGGTGGACATACTGGTGGAGAATATGGGCCGAGTCAACTATGGGAAAGACATCAATGACTTTAAGGCAAGATGTTCTTTTCAACAGTTATTTAAAGCTGGCTCTCCTGAGTAACCACCATTAATACAGCACCCTTCCATTAGCTACTTAATTCTACAGAACCTTATTCGGTCCCACTGAACATTATGAGCTGGTTGCTTGGAAATAGATTAAGCAAAGTTCTGGACTAAGAAGCACTTTGTAGAATTTGAATTGAACCTGCTTTTTAGCCCACCATTAGTATTATTTTGAGTCTGGGAATCCAACCCTAAGTGTCCTATGCACACATACATGACTATGATGTTTTGACTCCCTCCTTCCCTCTCTCTGTCTCTCTCTCTCTCTCTCTCTCTCTCTCTCTACAGGGCCTGGTGTCTAACCTGACATTGGGGGCCGACATCCTCACCGGCTGGGCCGTCTACAGCCTCAGCATCGACCAGGCTGTTAGCCAGGGTCTTCTCTGGGAGATGGGCTCTAGGGAGGCTGGTCCTCCACCACCCTCACCCCTCTCCGTCCCCTCCTTCTATGGGGGCACTTTCGTCATCCCCGGTGGCATCCCAGATCTGCCCCAGGACACCTACATCCAGTTCCCTGACTGGAGAAAGGTGGGGTTTTACCTTTTTAAGTAGATTTTAATTGTTTGTTGAATGGCTCTATTGTATGTTGTTCCTGAGCAGGGACCACAACTGCAAATGACCTTATAGATAATGTGACTGACTAGTCAACTGCAAATGGCCTTATAGCTAATGTAACTGACCTGTGTCATCTGTGCGCTGACAAGACTGTTGTGTTAGCCCTCTGAGCTAAAGCCTAGGCATTAGCCTTAGACACACCTCTTCATATCTCAGGCAAGGTTACTCATCACGTAAGCGTGGTTTGCTGAACCACGTTAGTTTCACATACCCTGGTGCAATATACAACTTGTTCATGGTCCCTGACACTACTGAATCCCGAACACGTACATTATTTCTAGTATTTTTTTTTATGCTATTCCTTTATGTTTTGTTTTTATCACTAGGGCCAGGTGTGGATCAACGGTTTCAACCTGGGCCGCTACTGGCCCGCTCGCGGCCCACAAATCACCTTGTACGTGCCCGCTAGCATCCTGAGCACGGCCGCGCCCAACAACGTGACCGTCCTGGAGCTGGAGGGGGACCCATGCACCCCCGGGCCCTGTACCGTGGAGTTCGCCAACACCCCGGTCCTGAACGCCACCGTTAAGTCTGACCACAAACACCAGAGGGCGCTGTTCCATAAAGAGGATCTCTTATGATGAGCACTGATCAAAAATGCACTTACTGTATGTATCTGGAAGTGATCTATTTTGCACTGATCATTTTAAATGTTTGTAATTTAATCACGGGTGGCTGTACCTCTAATATTACCTCTATTTGACAATTCAGTGTCTTAAAACCCTACATGACTTTGTTTACACTAGCATCTGTATTCAAAGGGAATTAAGTATGCCTCATTTGAACAGTATGTTTGTCTGGAAATGTACTCAAGTTCACTAAGGAAAATGAGTCATTTAGAAGTGCTATGAACTTGAGTAGTACTCTAAATGTAAGTTGAGATCAGTGGTGCTCAAATCATGAGCCTGGAGGTCCCTAGTACTGCTGGTTTTCTTTTTATGTCAGTGCACTATGCAGCTGACAATACGCCTTTTAAAGGCATGTTCACAGAGATCACATTCATGGTAAACGCTGGCATGTCTGCTCAAGTGTAAATTACCTTTAAAAGTCTCTTATAGTGCACTGTGCTATAGCGCACCTTGAATTAAATCCTGCCCTATGTTGTGAATTGGGGAATCATGGTTGGGAAGGACGTGTGCCAAATGATCTGTGCCTTATTGTGTGCCACCTAACTGCAGGGATATTATGTTTTCATTGATTTCTGTAATGAACCATTGGGTGCGTCTTGTAAATGAAGTTATTGTGTTCAGCTGGAACCCTGGTATGCTTCTTTTGCACAATTTGATGATTTCAAATACTTTGGGATTTCCTTGTATTTTGGTTGTTATCATTTTTGTTAATTTGAATGTGTTTAATGTCCAGGCACAAACCATGCTGTACTTTTTGATTTATAAATGTTTTAATAAAATGTGGTGAATGCAATAATGATTACACACAAATGGCATAGTACCGCACAGATCTCAAGTTAGGATTTGAAATACAACCCTATATTAAAACAATCCAAATCTTAAACCCAACTATAGAACAATGAAAAGATGAACACAGGAGAGGAGTATATACAGCAGCAACACTATACACTCATTATTCATTCCAGAAGCCTCTGTTGTGGCCGACTGCTTCTATAAGCCTGCTCTGTAGTGTTTCTTTGGAGGGGTATATGGGCAGCTGCAACAGAGAGTGACAGGTCAGCGCCTCTTGAAATGCTTTACGGAGGAGTTGAGGAAGGATTTGGCCTCATCTGATTATGGTTCATACCAGGTAGGCCACGGCAACAGCAGTCAGACACTAATTTGCCAAAGGTGGGAGGGGGAGGGAGGGCAGTGAATGACAGAATAACTTTATTCTCAGTAGCCACGTTATTGTTCATCTTACAATTGAAAACGTTCCATACTTACGAGGAAAAGCTTTCTTTGATCCTCGATCAGTTCTCAAAACACATCCCAGAATGTGCCGAGTTGGATATGGCCAGCTGGACTCCTTCATAACAGTGTTCTTAGTTTGGGGGACATCCACTCAATTAATATGGTGACAGAAATAGACACTTGACACCATTTCAAACCATTGGCAAAATCAATGTATCAAAAAACATTTTAGCTGGTTCCAGAACATGTAACTACCATGATCCCAACAACCAATTGGTGGCTGACTAAATACTTTTTTCCCCCACTGTACCATCAATCCCAAATCAACCCCTAGAACACTTGTTTTTTGCCCTCTGATAGGCTAGGTGAAATCTTCGTCATATATTATATGTTTTTACTTGTCTAATGCTCTCAGATGTAGACAATTAGCTAGGGGTAGATTTAGGATTGAGCTTCAGTCATGTAGTAACAAAACATGGTTCTGACCTGTTTCAGCGTTTCCCAGTCGAAGTTCTCCTTCCCCACCATCACCCCCCTCAGTTCCTCTGGCTGGAAGAACTCCACCACGTCCATGTCACACACCTTGAAGAAGCCTTTCCTGAACTCTTCAAACACCTTCTGTACTGACTGGTTGAAGATGTAGTTCACATAGGTGTCAACAAACTCCTTCCTGTCAAAAGAATGACATACAGAGTCAGATATCCATTGAGTTGAAGCTAGTATAGGTTGGTGTCGATTCCAGTTGGTGTCAATTCAAGGAATGAGAAGCGCCATTTACTTTCAATTATGATTTTTCCATTCATACAATTACATTTCAGTATGAGATGATATTGCCGAAATGGAATTGACCCCAACCCTGGTAGCTGTAGCAATGGAAAAATGTGTCATACTGTAAACCTTGTATTTTGTCAGTTGTAAATATTGCAATAATCTTACTTGTTAGCACTTGTGACGAGTTTTCCAATTTCTTTGGGATCAAGTTCCACCGCTACGTCATCCCATACCACCTATTATAGTGAGTAATGAAAATAGTGAGGTAAATGAACAATGACAACACTGCAGACTGAGGGTATAGACAAATAGATGGGAGTGATCTGGGAGAGACATACACACTGATATAATATAATGTATCTTATGTTAAGTCATTCATACAGCTTCACTTCAATTAACTAGTAGGATCTTAATTTGAGCCAATTTAATACAGCAGGAAATGTGAATTATTATGTGTATTACAATTATTGGACATTTTTTGTAGGGGTTGATACATTTTTCGTAAGGGCAAATCAAATCTGTCATTTTAAAGTGGAAATTACTAACTTTAGAAGCTTTTTAAAACCTTGAATACACTACAACTTTGCATTTCCTGCTGTGCGGGAAAATTGTCAGCAACAAAAGAGTGATAAAATTAAGATCCTACATCTGTATTAGGTTACATTTGATTTGTTCATCGATCAAACTGTTTGAAAGCAATACATACTGAGAAAGTAATGTCCATGTTTTCGACATCATCATCAGGGTAATCCAAGATGTACTGCAAACTCCTTCAAAAGCATTGAAAATAATATGTGACAATAGATGTGACAATTATAAATTGGCAATCAATAAATCATGATGCATTAATCAATAAATAACTATTTATCCAAATAATTCATAATTGCTTATCCACACAGAGCAAGTGCCCTGCCCCGGAGATGCAATTAAATGCCTTGAGATGCAATTTCTTAATATGTCCTTGGTGTCCTTATAACAAACACAACTGCCTGTACCATAATACATTACTGACAAAGGGATAACAATATATTATGGTATGAACTTACCCTGCTTCAATGGGGCTAAACTCTCTCAGGTCCTCTAAAGAGGGATTGATGTTCACCAGCTTCTTGAAGAAGGCCATGGGGAATGGGAGGTGCACCATGTTGTTGTTGTACAGGGCCATCCCACACAGAACCCCAAACAGGAAATAACGCTTCTCCTCCACTCTAGGCTGTTAGTGAGGATGGGTTGGACAAGAGACAAGAAATACACCATGAGTGAAAGTATAGGACATGCTGTTGATAACCTGTGAAAAATGATAGATTAATATACAGTAAAGGGAAGGTACTGCGGTTTCTAGAATACAGTAGTAGGCTAGTAATACAGTAGTAATACTGTAGTAGTTCCTCTCTAGGAACATATCATTAGTGTTTCACTACCAGCACATTTGAAGCCATTTGAAAATACAATGATTATCGATGTAGAAATAAAATAATATGGTGAGGTGGTGGAAAACCTCATAATCCATGTGTGATTTCCCTAAACGTACCTTACCTTTGCAGGGAACCAGGCTAGCGTCTTGTTGTCGTTGTACATGAACATCCCAGACTCGGGTACCAACAGCTTATCAAACAAATGGATGAAGAAGTCCCTTTTGTAGACGTCTGTTAGCTTCGCATCCTCGTCGAAATACACCTGAGAGAGGTAAGCACTACATTTTGGCATAGCCCTTCTCTGTTCAAAACATTGTCTCGTCATTGGAAAGCTATCATTCCTAAATGTAAAAATATGGATTTACCACAAGGGGCCTCTTGAAGGTACTGGGTCTTGCTACACTCAGTTGTTGGAAAGTGTCTTCGATGAGTGATGCTCGCTTCAGCCTCAGCTCAAAGAACGCAGCAGGGGCCGCCACGGGGAACATGTTAAAAGGCCACATGCCAGTCCTTTGGCGATTGTTAGGGGGATTCTGCAATGCATACAGTACAATATTAAGTCTTCAGTTAGTGCTTTTCTAGTACAAAACAAGTATTTATTTCAACCAGTTTTTCCCATCAAAAAGGTTCAGAAATATGGTTGGTTTCTTCAGTAGTGATGGTCAACATTCTAGAGCTACTTGGAATGCAGGCTTTTGCTCCAGCCCTGTTCTAACACACCTGATTTAGCTAATCAAGGTCCTGGTGAGCAGCTGATTAGTAGAACCAGGTGTGTTAGAGCAGGGCAAGAGCAAAATATTGCATACACAGTCAGTTAGTCTAGTAGGGAGTTTACCCACCCCTGATTTATAGTATCTGCTGTATATTATAATACTATATATTGAGACGAAAGTGTCATTACCTGTGTGAGTGCGGCGTTGATGTTAAAAACAATTATCTTGCTCTGCAGATTCATCAAGAATGGGTAATGACAAAAGATGGCAGGTGTCTGATCCACATCCTGAAAGTGGTGTAAAAATAAAAATATTTACAATGCATCTCAATTAAGGAGCTCCTTTGTCTAATTATGTTATTCTGCACTGATAAGAATTAACTTAAGAAGGTGAGAAAGATTCTCTAGTAGGAAAACAAAATGTTTCCTTTACTCTCTCTTTCCAGATAATTTCAGGTAGAGGAAATCTAAAGCCTCTATTGAGATGCAGCCTATGACACTATCTAAGACCCAAACAACAAACATCAAAACACCTCAAGACTGACAGCAACTAGCATGTTTAGCAATCAGTGACTGAGACAAAATAACGTTTCTTACCTGCTTTGACCATAAACGCCAAAGCTTTACATCCTCCGCTAGAAATATGGGATTGAAGTGAACCTCCTCCATACAAAAGGTACTGTATGGAACTGTCTGGGTCTCTCCAGATTTTTGGTTTGCCTTTGAAATAATATAGAAAAGTAAAATACATTTTGACAATATTTATTTATTAGCAAGTATTAGCTAAATATTTTCCATGTGTGTCAGAAAAATATTATTTAATCAAATCTCAGTTATGGTCTCATCGATTCTAAATAGGTTGCATTGAAATAACTGGCACCCTGGCACCAGATTGGTCCCAGAAGATGACTGGTCAAAATGGGAAAACAGCTTTATAAATGGATTGACAGTACGAGCAGAGAAGCATGGACACTGACTCTGTGGAGATGGCCGAGGACATGGAGCAGGTGTTTGACCCCATGGTCACGGGTGCGTAGAATATGTTCACTTGTCAGAATCACCGACAGGGCCTTCTTCCACATCCCAATGTGCTTGGTCATGACAGAGGGCTTCAATGAGGACCAGCAGTCACCTACAGGACATGATAACACAAAGATTACATGATCAAACCATTTTGTGGGGGCATAGAATTTGCTCTACTTCACAATCATTCCAGGGGTACCCCCAAAGTGCACACATTTTGTTTTAGCCCAGCACTACCACACTCGATTCAAATAATCACTGGTTTTGTAAATTTTGCCTAGTCTAAATCTGCCAGACAGCGAATGAACAAGGACAAAATAAGTTGGTTACAGCACAAACAGATTTACGACCATGTTATTGTTGATTAGTTTAATTTGGGGTGAAACATTTTAAATGGACGGCAACATTACCAAGGACCTGCAGCTTGTCGGGGTGCAGTCTGAGGATAGCAGCAGCAAGGGCTTCAGTGAGATCTGTCCTTCTGTGCCGTTTGTGAAGGACCCTCAGGAGCTCAGGGAGAACCAGGTAGACCCTCAAGCTCTCCACTCCAATCGGCTCCTCATACAGGGAGGGAAGTAGTGTGTGCTGGACAACAGCTTCAACCTAGTGCAATGAAAGAGGTGTGTGAATCGCCCCTCATTCAAATGATAATAACAACAATTTAGAAGTATTTCAGCAATTCAATGTGCAATCAAAGACACATGTCAGAATACATAGGAATAGGAATACGATTACATATCAATTCATAAATGTATTCACAAAATACCTCAGTCAAAACTTTGTCCTTTTTTGCCAGCTTCCGGAATGCGCCTTGGACGAGTGACAAATCCAGGCCAGACTGTTTTGGTGAGGTTTGGTAATGTTTGTCACAACTAATAAAACCAATAAATAATTGTCAATATCTATGCCATATTTAAACCAGTATTCTTCGATAATGTAATATTTCAAACATAAGTCAATCATGTATTTGAACCAATATTAAAAACTGTTACCTTTTATCAAGAAAGCTCCCATTTAAACATGACGCAGAAGAAAACATTTTTTTGATTTCCCTGCAAATACAAGTTTGAGTAATTATTCAGTTCAGTATGTGACCGTACATAAACAAAACAAGGAAACAGCAACAACAGTAAATGATAGTTACTTATATCAAATGAAAAATGTATGCACTCACTAACTGTAAGTCGCTCTGGATAAGAGCGTCAGCTAAATGACTAAAATGTAAAAATGTAATCATACTTACTTCTGTACTTTTTTCCATGATTTTGAATCACATTCTGAGATCCATTTGTCAATGATTTCTTCATCTAATGCTTGTTGTGTCACTTTGCCCACACTTGACCTGAGATTGTTTGACCTTTCTTCAGACTCCTGTGAAGATGACAATGTGATGCAATGTATCACAGCAATGTTAAGTACAAAGGACAAACTATGTTCTGTTTTGTTAACTAAATGTTTCAAACCGAATTGTGTCCATACCTGACCAAGAGTGCACAATGCAAAGGAATGGTTTCCTCCAGCAAAAATGTGTTCAATTTTCTGGTCATCAATCTGGTCTGAAATGTTGACAAAAATAGTTCATGATCGAGTTAATGTTATTTCATGTTTACTTCATGTTATTTTAGTTGAGTATTGAAATAAATGAATGTTTTACCTGGCAGTTGTACTGGGAGGGGCACAGACTGATCAATCTTTACTCCATTTCCCAGCTGCCCTTGCTCTCCGCGCCCAAATGAGTAGATCTCATTAGATGGCCCCACAAATGCTAATGTGTGGTGTCTAATGTGGCAAACGGACAGAGAAAACATTTCTCAAATCAACAATGAATTCTAAAAAGGTCTTATGCTAAGATGAACATAACCAAACAGATCCTACATCACAATTTGTGTACTGTCAAAATATTTGGTCAAATCCAGATCATGTCTAGCAGTGGCGGTTTTACACGGAGGCCGGGGGAGGCCCGTGCCTCCCTGGAAATGTCCCTGGCCACCCCTGTGGCCCCCCCGTGCTGACCAAATAAAAAATTATGAATTTATAACTATTTTACACGCGAGCGCCAAAAGCGGAACTAATGCAACGCTCTACACGGCAACGTTCTACACGGGTAAATTAGAGTGGCGCACCCAAAAACTATCCTGCCATCTGCCTGCCTGCCACGTGTGGTGCTGCTTCGGTGAATGAAAGCTCAGCAACTACTATTTGCAGGAGTCGAAGGTAAGCAAAACGATTTAATATCATAAGTGACTTGTTGTTCTTGCACATAGCCTACATGTTCCTTTTGTTCCTCACACATAAATCAAATCAAGTTTTTAAATGTCTGGTCTCGATTTGTTTAGAAATGTAATCATATCTAAGCAAACTCATCGAAGCAGAAGCAAATATCCAAATGTTAGTAGGCTATCCTTGCTAGGTCTACACAATGTTGTGATGTTAACCACGTAACTTCATCCGTCTTGGCTGTTGCATCGCGATAACAAATACATTTTTAGTAAAGTAATCAACAGGTTATCTGCCAGTGTTAAGTAGGGAGGGATGGTTAGGTAACAAAATGTAATGCATGCCCCTACGTTTTTTCTTCTTCTAATAGTTATCATGAAACGAGGAAGGGACATAAAGTCATTTTTTGCCCCAGCAAACAAAAAAGTGAGAGAAACAAATCAAGGTTTTGAGAAAGTTGAGGAAGAGGGAGATTACAGGATGCATGTGATGAAAGTGAGGGGTCTGACAAAGAGAGGGAAATTCCAGAGGGTGAGGAGGATGAAGAAGAGGGTGAGGAGGATGAAGAAGAGGGTGAGGAGGATGAAGAAGAGGGTGAGGAGAATGAAGAAGAGGGTGAGAAGCATGAAGAAGAAAGCATACAGGGACAGAGAGATGAACAGCCAGAGGGACAGCAAGTGGATCCATGTGGATCAAGTACTGCACCATCAGGTTTGTGATGAGGAAGGTTCTTACTATTTGCAAAGCAATGCAATTACAATGTAATGGTAGGCCTGCTGGGTGTCCTTAAAATGCTGCTTTCTGCTGTTAATTCTTTTTTGTGTCAATATGGCTCTGTTTTTTTAAAAAAGTAAATACTTTGCCTACATTTTGAAATACATGCAGATATACAGTAAATAAATGTTGTAGTTGTGCCCTATGTTTACTGTCCATCTTCTTCAGATATCAGCAAGTCTAAGTATGACGTACCAGTACAGCCGAACTTGAAGATATTCCCAACCACACTGATGGGGGACAGAAGACGAAGCTTCAGACCAAACTGGTACACTACTCATCCATGGCTTGAGTATTCTGTAATGACGGACTCTACATGTTGCTATGCATGTAGACATTTTAGCACACCAAATGCCCCAGACACCGTTTTTGTTTCAACACCTGGTTTTACAAACTGGAAAAAGGCAACTATGAGAAATGCAGGGTTTTCACTACATGGAAAGTCTGAACGACACAAGTGTGCAATGATCGCATGGAGGGATTATCAAAGAGCTGTTAGAACTGACGCAACACTAACAGATCTCCTTGACAAAGAACACACTAAACAAGTACAAGAAAATCAGGCATACATTAAAACAGTTGGGGAAGTGCTGTTGCTTACAGCTACACAAAACATAGCACAAAGAGGACATGATGAATCTGAAGGGTCCACTAACAAAGGAAACTTTAGGGAAATTCTTAACACAGTTGCTAACCACGACCAACTTGTTAAGAGAAGATTAACTTCCATTCACAATGCAAAGTACACAAGCAAGATCATCCAGAATGAGGTTTTGGGTTGTTTGGCAGAAATGGTTCGGTCTGAAATCATAGAAGAAGTGAAGAAAAGTGAGGTTTTTAGCGTCATGGCAGATGAAACAAAGGATATTTCAAAAAAAGAACAGATGTCCTTCACACTCAGGTACTATTACAATGGGGCCATTAAGGAGAGTTTTCTCCATTTTGAATCTGCAGAGAGGTTAGATGCAGCAGGGCTTACTGGAAAAATAGTACACTTACTGGAACGTTATGGCCTGGACTACAAAAATAACCTCGTAGGCCAAGCGTACGATGGCGCTGCCGTTATGAGCGGTAAGCATTCAGGGGTTCAGGCAAGGATCAAAGAACAGGCTAAATTTGCCTTCTACGTCCATTGTAGTGCTCATTGTCTGAATTTAGTGTTAGTTGATGTAGTCAAAAGTGTCCCAGAAACGGAGGAGTTTTTTTCTTTGTTACAGAGTCTTTATATGTTTACTTCTTCCTCATATGTGCACCCAAAATAGCTGTCTCTCCAAAGAGAAATGTATGGCAGAACCAGAGAGCTGCAACGTTTAAGCGACACACGTTGGTCATGCCGATTTCTAGCCCTACGTAATATCATGGACACTCTACCTGCCCTTAAACGACTACTGCAAGAGATTGCTCAAGAACGTCATGGTGAAAGAACTGTTGAGGCCCGAGGTCTTCTTGCTCAAATTGACCTAGAATTTGTTGTGCATCTTGTTACTCTGCGTAAGTTGTTTGGGGAGACAAAGCTATTGTCTGACATGTTACAGTAACAAACTGTTGATCTGTCAAGTGCTGTTGACTTAGTAAATGCTTTAGTCCTGACATTGAAAGACCACAGGCAGGAGTCTTTCTTTGATGAGTTGTGGGATGAAGCATTGAATATTTGTGAGCAGTGTGATTCTGCAACAAGGTCAGTGGCGAAACGTCAGAAAATGCTGAGCTCTAGACTCAGTGGCTACTGCACGCTAAGCACTGTTGGTCAGAGGGAGGTAGAACGTGACAAAGATATGTTTCTCACATCATTTTTCTATCCTGTAATTGACAGCATGCTCAATGAGTTGAACAGACGTTTCTCCAATACAAACTGTGAGCTCATGAGAAGCATACAGTCTCTCAGTCCCCAGAGTGATACCTTTTTAAAGGAGAGCAATGTTTTTTCATTTGGCCGTTTGTATAATGCAGACATTGATGATTTAGGGCATGAGCTCCATCAATTTAAGAGAGTTTTGGACAGAAAAATACAGAGTGGTGAAGTCAAAAAGCCATGCAGTACAGTTGAGCTGGTTTGATTTATTGAGCCATACAGGGAAGTTTTCTTTGAGCTCTTTAGACTGTGCAAGATTGCTGTAACCCTTCCTGTAAGCTCAGCCTCTTGCGAACGCAGTTTCTCCACACTGAAACTGATAAAAACCTTCCTGCGGTCCACCACTAGTGATGAGAGACTCAGTGATCTTGGTGTCCTGAGCATAGAGTCCAGAAGGGCCAAGGCTCTGGATCTTGATGTATTTGTGGACCGTTTTGCCAGACAGCACAACCGCCGTATCCTGTTGCTGTAGTGTATCTATATGATATATACGCTAGTAGCGTATGAGTGCCGCTGTGAGGAAAAAGAGATATAATGAACAATAAAACAACAAGCTTGAGCTTCTTAAGACACGGTGGCTTTATCTGTTCTCAATACCACCGGTAAAATGAATGGAGTTAGTCTGGTGTCCACATGAAGTTACGTGTGTAGACAAAGAGTCTGGTGTCCATATGAAGTTACATGTGTAGACAGAGACAGTCTGGTGCCCATATGAAGTTACATGTGTAGACAAAGAGTCTGGTGTCCATATGAAGTTACATGTGTAAACAGAGACGGTCTGGGGTCCATATGAAGTTAGATGTGTAGACAAAGACAGTCTGGTGTCCACATGAAGTTACATGTGTCTATTTAGATGAACCCACCGTGTCTTAAGAAGCTGAAGCTTGTTTTATTTTTCATTTTACATCATCTATCTTTTTTTCCTCACAGTACCAGTAGTTCCACACACTACTAGAGTGTATGTATGTTTGTATGTATGTATATATATCCCACCAATCCTCTCTCAAGAGGTTTTCAAAAAGGGGCAAACTCATGTCTCAAGACCTGCTTCTGTTGGTTCCCCTCTCCTGCCTGTAACTTTCCATCCACATCCCCAAAGTGTTGTGGCCCATTATGACATCACTCCATTAAGTGATTGCTGCATGTACTGCTCTACGGTGCTCTAAGGAAACACTTCTCTCTCTCTCTCCTCTCTCTCTCTCTCTCTCTCTCTCTCTCTCTCTCCTCTCATCTCTCTCTCTCTCTCTCTCTCTCTCTCTCTCTCCTCTCCTCCTCTCTCTCTCTCTCTCTCTCTCTCTCTCTCTCTCTCTCGATAGATAGATAGATAGATAGAGTTTATGATTTTATTCTTTTGAATTATCTCTGCCAAACATCTATGTACTACAAATCTTCAAGCTCCACAGATGTTTTATGGCATCCACTAAACCTCTTTAGATATTTGTAAATTATACAGTGTGATACCTTTCAACGAAAGTTTATTTTATTTTTTACCAACTATGATTTTTCCTTTTGAAAACAAGCAAAGCAAGAAAAAAAAGAAACAAAATCACTCCAATCATTGCACACTTGTGTCGTTCAGACTTTGCAGGTCCAGCTTTGACATGATGATCTAACTAACACTAATATTGTAACTAATATTGTAACTGAAATATGTATGATCCTATGATGAGCGATTGCTTACTTCCCTTTCACTCTTAAAAAATTACTGAAAAAAATGTGTATAAAAAGGTATATGTTGTATATGTTTGTTTAGTGAGCATTCATGCTGTCATTTTTTCCTAATGTGAACTATGGTGGAAATGTGCTGTCCTAAATGGACTTGCCCATATATGTTGTAAAGCCTTTTTTTGTACACCTGCTCATCAACTGACAGTGAAGTACACAAAGACACAGACACACACACACACACACACACAGACACCTGTAATATTCTTGTTTTCATGTTGTTGCTGATATCCATCAGTG